AAACAGACTGAGTAGACAGTACTAGTATGACCATCCAATTTGGCTTTTTATTATCCTGTTTTTACATCCCATAGACGGATAGACTTATCCCAACTACCAGAAACTATTATGTTTCCATCAGGAGAGAAACGGACAGAGTAGACATAATCAGGATGAACATCCATTTTATTCGATTCATGTATTTTCAAATTCTTCCACTTACAATTGAATAGTTAAGCACCATTCAAATTAATTCCACTTATATCTACATTATCCAATTCAAATCCACTTAAATTGCATCTAACAAAATTAGCTCCCACCACTGAAGTATTTTAGATTTTTATGTTAACAAAATTTTTGTTTCTAAGGCTCACCTTCATCTAAACTAATAAATGCAATGAATTAGAACCACACTATTTTAACGTTTTATCAATGGATGTTAGGTGAACTAAAAATCCCAAATTTAGAATCTATCTATAATATTTAATTCCTTAAACTAGATTCTTTTTAGATTCTTCATATTCTTCATTTGAATAGTCAAACTTATTGAAACTATGATCTTGTATTTTTTTTAAGACATCACTTATTATTTTTATGTCTTTTCTAATAACAGACAATTTCTATTTATTCTCAACATAAGTTAAATTCGCTCCTAGTATGATTTATTATTCCAAATGACTTTGATTTCCATTATCTGAAAGATATCCAATACAGTCTAAAATCTTCTTCTTTTGAAATATTTCAAAAAATCGATAAAAGGGTGTTATAAATTTTTGTAAAAAGATGCTCTAAATTTGTATTGATTTGGAATTGTTTATAATAAAGGTGAATAGGCTATTGATAAATCATTTCAACATATGCATAGCTTGATTCTTAAATAATATAGAATATCTTTATTTTTATATCAATATTGTATTTTATACATTATTTAAGTTCAATAATTGATAGAGATGAAAAAAATAAATAATTACATTTTTCATTATCGATATGTATAACAATACATATCATTGTTTCCTTTTTTATTTTCTTCTATTTCAAATTGCTTAAATAGACTTGCTTTTGAATTATTTAATATCAATTTTGCATAATTTCTTAATATATTAATTTAAATGTAAATTTAACTGGTTGATGAGTTCATCAAAAGAATACAATTTTCTAATATTATGAAGTAATGAAGTAATGAAGTATATTTTTTTTTGTCTAGATATTAATTAATTTCGTTAAAATAATCTTGAAGGTAAAAAAGATTATAAAGTTCTAATTTTTTAAAAGCAGTGTACATTATCTTAGTGATTTATATTTTTTTTTTTACATAGATATTAAAAATTATTGCTGAAAGTTGCTCCTTTGTATGTATGGAAGAATTCACATATAAATTAAGTTAACCAGAGTTTAAGATTATTAGATGATTGTTAAGGAAGATATAATTATCTTAATCCTTTCAATAATATCATACTTTTTAATGATTAATGTATCTTTTCAGGCGATTATAAGATCTAATACTTTTAATATCAATTGATAAATAATAATAAAAGGTTATGAAAATATTACAAAGAATAGAGTAATTTTAAAAATCATTCAATTTCATAGTTTTTATTTTTTTTATTATTTAGATTATTTCTAGGATTAACTTTATTGTTTTTTTTAATTCTTGATGTATCTTTTTTCTTAACTTTGTTATTAATTGTATCTTTTCCTATTTTTAAACTAAAAACTAAATTTTACAAAACTATTATTGATATCTTTGAAGACTTTTCCTGCTTATAAACAGTAATAATCTAAATAAATCTACCACATAATATCCTAGATGAATTATAAAGAATGTTGTGTTAGATTAGTTTTCTTTAACTAATCATTTCATTCTTTATTTTAATTATGTAGTTTCATTTAAAATTAAATCTCTATAAATATTAATTGATACGGTTTTTATGATATTTAAATAAATAATCCCTATATATGACAAAAATGGAATAAAACTTTGGAAAATATGTACTTACCTATCTTATAAAGGGATATGAAGAGTCAAACTAATAAAGAAACGATGAAAAAAATACTAGAAATTAATTGTAATTATAAAAATAATATTGCTAATGAACAATCACTTTAAGTCTTCTAAAAAGCAGCATCCTTTTGATTCGAATAACTATCTAAGATTGTATCCGGCATAATTTAGAAAATCTCCTTTCAAGATCAAAGCTCCTTATGCTTGAAATAATAATTTTTGAGATATTCGCAGAATAGTAAAATTGGAGGATTCTAAAAATTATTAATAAAATAAATACTTGGCAGAGATTGCCTTAAAATAGTGGAGCTTTAAAACTCACAAGAAAATCTTTATTATTTTTGTCAGCTGGTAAATTTTCTTTTCCATGCTTAACATTCCATAGATGGATAGAGTTATCTCTACTGCCAAAAGCTAATATATTTCCATCAGGAGAAAAACAGACTGAGAAGACACAACTAATATGACCATCCAATTAGGCTTTTTATTATCCTGTTTTGACATCCCATAGAAGGATAGACTTATCATCACTACCACATGCTAATGTATTTCCATCAGGAGAGATACAGACTGATCTAACATAATCATTGTAACCATCTAGTTTTGCTTTTTATTATCCTGTTTTGACATCCCATAGACGGATTGATTTATCACCACTACCGGAAGCTTAAATATTTCCATCAGGAGAGAAACAGACTGAGTTGACTTAATCTTAATGGCCATCTAGTTTATTTAATTCAAGGATTTTTAAGTCTTTCCAACTACAATTTAATAATAATGCTCCGTCCAGGTTTATTCCACTTATGTTGACATTATTAAATTAGGATTCACTAAAATTACACCTAGCAAAATTTGCTCCTTCTAATGAGACATTTTAGATCTTAATTTTTTAAAATTTTTAATTTCTTAAATCCTCCTTCATCTAAACTAAAATATGTAATGAATTAGACCCACATTATATCATAGTTTCATCTATAGATGTGAGATGAACTAAAAATTACTAAAATTCAATGATCCTTTTGTTATCCTTGATGCTTTTAATTAGACTTAATGTTGATTCTTCATTTTCTTTGGAGGAAAAGTCTTTGTAATTGAAGTCATGATCTTTTAATTTTTTAATACATCTGTAATTTATTTCATGTCATTTCCAATATCAGACAATTTCTATTCTGTATCAACTTGTGTGAAATTCCCAACTTTTTGTAAAATTTATGATTCTAATTGTTTCTGATTTCCAATATCTGATAGAAATCCAATGCAGCCTTAAACTTTTTCCTTTCTTAATATTTCTGATATGACACCAAACATCTTTTCATCTACATCTTTAACTTAAGCAAAGATTTCAGCTAGAGCTTGCTTCTCCTAAAAAGGGCCCTGCATTTTCTATGTTATTTTTAATATTGAATTATTATTACTCTAACAATAGGTTATATACTGCGAAATCGATAATAGTATATTAAGTATTTCTAAAAATAGAATTTCAAACGTTGTGTAGATTTGGAATTGATAGTGATAGCGGTATATTATGCTATTGAGAATCCAATTCTTCTTTTGAATTGCTTAATTCTTTAATAATACAAAATAACTCTTTATTTTTATAATGTAAATTATAAATAATTTCTTAATATATATAGATATAACATAAAAATGCATTAGACTAGTAATGTAGATATTATAAAAAATAATATACATAAAGCTTGATTATTTACTTCCTCAATCTTCAAACAATTATTTCTATCAGAACCTAGCTAGTTTAATTATTTCCAGATAATAAACATGAATTTAATATTTATTACCCTTTATTAAATAGATATTTTTTCAATAGAATTGCTGATTTTTTACCTAATTTTGATCTATCAAATCAATTATCTTAATAAATTCAATTTATTTTAGTATATTACAAACTTTCCTCTTGTTAATCTTTTTAAGAGTTGGAATAAAGCATAGGATCAATGATTAAGGTATAATGAATTTTTTTTAATAAAATGAAAAAAAATTGAACTTTACCGAAACCTAAGATGTTATAAATAGATACGACTTGCATTGATAATTGATAGAATATATATATACTTTAAAATTTTTGTTTTTTGTTAAACTTGTCACAGTGATGGATATTATTCCAAATGAAACTTAACCTATTTGGTTTTACTTGTGGCAAGTATGTAAAATTTCATTTCCATAACTNCTTACCTATCTTATAAAGGGATATGAAGAGTCAAACTAATAAAGAAACGATGAAAAAAATACTAGAAATTAATTGTAATTATAAAAATAATATTGCTAATGAACAATCACTTTAAGTCTTCTAAAAAGCAGCATCCTTTTGATTCGAATAACTATCTAAGATTGTATCCGGCATAATTTAGAAAATCTCCTTTCAAGATCAAAGCTCCTTATGCTTGAAATAATAATTTTTGAGATATTCGCAGAATAGTAAAATTGGAGGATTCTAAAAATTATTAATAAAATAAATACTTGGCAGAGATTGCCTTAAAATAGTGGAGCTTTAAAACTCACAAGAAAATCTTTATTATTTTTGTCAGCTGGTAAATTTTCTTTTCCATGCTTAACATTCCATAGATGGATAGAGTTATCTCTACTGCCAAAAGCTAATATATTTCCATCAGGAGAAAAACAGACTGAGAAGACACAACTAATATGACCATCCAATTAGGCTTTTTATTATCCTGTTTTGACATCCCATAGAAGGATAGACTTATCATCACTACCACATGCTAATGTATTTCCATCAGGAGAGATACAGACTGATCTAACATAATCATTGTAACCATCTAGTTTTGCTTTTTATTATCCTGTTTTGACATCCCATAGACGGATTGATTTATCACCACTACCGGAAGCTTAAATATTTCCATCAGGAGAGAAACAGACTGAGTTGACTTAATCTTAATGGCCATCTAGTTTATTTAATTCAAGGATTTTTAAGTCTTTCCAACTACAATTTAATAATAATGCTCCGTCCAGGTTTATTCCACTTATGTTGACATTATTAAATTAGGATTCACTAAAATTACACCTAGCAAAATTTGCTCCTTCTAATGAGACATTTTAGATCTTAATTTTTTAAAATTTTTAATTTCTTAAATCCTCCTTCATCTAAACTAAAATATGTAATGAATTAGACCCACATTATATCATAGTTTCATCTATAGATGTGAGATGAACTAAAAATTACTAAAATTCAATGATCCTTTTGTTATCCTTGATGCTTTTAATTAGACTTAATGTTGATTCTTCATTTTCTTTGGAGGAAAAGTCTTTGTAATTGAAGTCATGATCTTTTAATTTTTTAATACATCTGTAATTTATTTCATGTCATTTCCAATATCAGACAATTTCTATTCTGTATCAACTTGTGTGAAATTCCCAACTTTTTGTAAAATTTATGATTCTAATTGTTTCTGATTTCCAATATCTGATAGAAATCCAATGCAGCCTTAAACTTTTTCCTTTCTTAATATTTCTGATATGACACCAAACATCTTTTCATCTACATCTTTAACTTAAGCAAAGATTTCAGCTAGAGCTTGCTTCTCCTAAAAAGGGCCCTGCATTTTCTATGTTATTTTTAATATTGAATTATTATTACTCTAACAATAGGTTATATACTGCGAAATCGATAATAGTATATTAAGTATTTCTAAAAATAGAATTTCAAACGTTGTGTAGATTTGGAATTGATAGTGATAGCGGTATATTATGCTATTGAGAATCCAATTCTTCTTTTGAATTGCTTAATTCTTTAATAATACAAAATAACTCTTTATTTTTATAATGTAAATTATAAATAATTTCTTAATATATATAGATATAACATAAAAATGCATTAGACTAGTAATGTAGATATTATAAAAAATAATATACATAAAGCTTGATTATTTACTTCCTCAATCTTCAAACAATTATTTCTATCAGAACCTAGCTAGTTTAATTATTTCCAGATAATAAACATGAATTTAATATTTATTACCCTTTATTAAATAGATATTTTTTCAATAGAATTGCTGATTTTTTACCTAATTTTGATCTATCAAATCAATTATCTTAATAAATTCAATTTATTTTAGTATATTACAAACTTTCCTCTTGTTAATCTTTTTAAGAGTTGGAATAAAGCATAGGATCAATGATTAAGGTATAATGAATTTTTTTTAATAAAATGAAAAAAAATTGAACTTTACCGAAACCTAAGATGTTATAAATAGATACGACTTGCATTGATAATTGATAGAATATATATATACTTTAAAATTTTTGTTTTTTGTTAAACTTGTCACAGTGATGGATATTATTCCAAATGAAACTTAACCTATTTGGTTTTACTTGTGGCAAGTATGTAAAATTTCATTTCCATAACTGACATTATGTTAATATGAGTATTAATAAATTAATATGATATTTGTATTATATATTATTTATTTTTTATGAAATAAAAACACAGCAGAAATGTGGCGTATGTATTTGGAGTGGTATACTAACTTTTTAGAGATATAAATATTCAAAATGAACTAAAAAACGATATTAAAGACTTTTTTAAATAATAAATCAACGCCAGATCTTTTTACACTTTTTTTTAACATCAAAGGACATCCATTTCAAGTGGATTATTAATACTTATTCATAATAATTCAAAAATAGTTGAAAAAATGAAGAAATCTTTGTGTTTATATTAAGCATAACAATTAAAAAAATAGCTCTAACATTTGAAAAAATAAAATCAATCTATTATAAACATGAGACTCTTATTTAAAGGATGTTTACTTCAAAGTAAATATTAATTAAACATACATTTTATTTTAATATTAATTTCTGACCTTTTTTATAATATGATATTTTTTTATTAAATAATTTAATAAAAAGATATAATACTTAATTTATAGAAATTAAGGGTTAAGAGGGCAACAAATTATGTTGAATGATCTAACTTTGAAAATTTAAGGATTTTGAAACACAATAAATATGAATATATAATTGAGAAATAGCAACTCACAGTCTTGTGAACTTATAGAACAACATCCAAAAATAAATTCAAAAATAAAATTAATGAATCAAAAATTGAAACAAGATATCTCTATTGTATTAATCCTATGGACATTATTTAATGCTGTTTAGAATGAATAGTGTGAGAACAATTATTAAAATTCATGTCTGTGTGAATCTGATGGTTTAACTGGATGTTCAACCATACACTATTGTGTTGATATTACAGCATCATCTGAAAAATGCAATGCAGAATCTGGTACATCTGTAAGCATGTGAAACTTCGACGTAGACAATGTGCTCATCCACACTTTGTTTCGATCTATCAGCAAGTTTTGGTCTGGATCTACTCTATCTGATTGTATATGTGAACCTCAAGAAAATCATATTGTGATTCAACTAAAATATGTTAAAGGAATTCATGTCTGGTAATCCTAATTGCAAAGCTATAAATTAAAATAATTGCTCATGTGTAAGCTCAACAAAATAATAATGTAGTTCAATTACTTTATTTCAAAGACCCAAAAGCATCACATGGAACATGTTTTAATAAATGCTAAGTTCAACAGTAAATGATTGTATCTGTGGTTCAACAGCACTATCATATTGTACTTCGACTTAGAGATGTGAAGATAATATGGCTAGTTCAGGAAATTGTTTGAATATTTGTACTAGAAACTTTTAAATTAATTGTTCTTGTGGATAAAATCAATTTAGTAATTTTAATAGTTCAAACTATTGTTCGAATGCTACAGCTAATAATGGATATTGCTGTGATAATTGTACAAATAACATCAAATAATCTTTTATTTCTGGAACTAGTACAAATAAGGATGTTCTTGTTCATAAAGATGTGAAGATCCAAATGCAAATAGTGGTAATTGTATTTCAATACCTAATCTTATTAATAATTTTGATAATTCTTGTTAATGAGGTACATCTTAGGTTACTGTATGCTCATTGTCTACTTATTGTACTAATATAAGGGATTCAACAAAAATTTGCATATATATTGTACCCAAACTTAGAAATCAAATTGTATTTGTGGTTCCATTAATAAAGTTAATTTGTTCAAATACAAAAATATATTAGAATGCCAAAGATTAAAATTGAAATTGCATTGAAAAATGTCAAGCCAATTTATAAACAAGCTGTTTATGTGGTAATTCAGCAACTTCAATTATTAATTCAATTGAACATTGTCATGATTATAAAAAACCTACAGGTACTTCTAAAGCAATTGTGTTTTTGGATTATCAAGTTATTCAGAATGTTCATCTACAACTTATTGTTCATCAAAATAATCAGAATTTTGTTTAGGAGAATGTTCTCTCCCGTTATCATCAAATTGCATTTGTGAAAATAAAGTCAAATAAGTATGTTCAAGTTATGAAAAATGTGAAGATTCATATACATATATACTAAAATTGTTTAATGTTTGGAGTTGTAAATGTAAAATAAAAAATAAGATTCTCATCTGTAATGGAATATGTAATTTAGGAACTTGTGTATAATTACTGAAATAAAATTGTACTTAATGTACCAATAGGCATACTTATTGCAATAAAAATGAATATTGTTAGATTATACAGCTGTTAAGGGAATTTGTTTTTAAAAATGTAAGTAAAATAAAAATAATTGTCTATGTGGAATAAATTCTATTAATGAAGCTATGTATCATCTTATTGTTTATTGCAATAAAGAGGTGTTTGTATGACAGAATGTACTTCTACTAATTATTAAAATTGTTTGATACTATCTGAAAACTAGGCATGCCTGGATAAATTTAGCACTTTCTATAATCCTCTTACAGGAAGATTTAGAACAACTTTAGTAGAAAATGGTTAAACAAATTGTGTTTGTATTAGTATTATAGATAACAATTTAGATACCAAATTAATTTGCTAATCTGGCTTTGAATGCTAAACTCTTGCATCTACAATAAGGATGTTTTGAAAAATGTACAACCAATAAAAGTTCTATTTTTTATTGTAGATAAGACAAATCCTAATATTGTAATGAAAATTAGGCTTTTTATGATCCAACTTAATCAATAGGATCATTTACATAGACTTTGAATGAAATTCAAATAAAATATTCTTTTAAATTTCTTTTAAAAGTGTCTTGAAGAATGTTCAAATTCAGTTAAAAAATTATATTAATGATTGCTTAAATAAATGTAATTAAGAATAAATTTAGTTGACAAAAATGTGTATTAATATTTTCAGTTCAAAAGTTAATTGTAATAATGTTTTTCACTATATTATGAAAAAAAAAAAATTAATCAAGAACAAGATTAAGAAATCAAATATTTTAAATTACTCATGTAAATATTTAAATTTCCACAGTCCTTACAATCAGAAACTTAAAAATTTGACATTAAGTGATACTATTTATCAGAATGCTATACTCTTATTTACGTTTTTTAGGTCCTTTTTTTTACCGAAATGTGTTTTTTTATGACAAATTTTTAAATAATGCTTATGTGTTTTGATAGATGATTAATTTTTCCAATTTTATTATTTTTTCTATAAGATTTACTATAATCTTAACTGGAAATTATTTGTAATAAAACAGATTCATTTTTTAATTAAATAAAATTATATTTTCTTATGTAATTTATATGAAAAAGGAATAATTTACACTAATAAATAAATAATTCAACATAGGAAATAACTCTTATTATAAATTTTGTTATAATTTCTAATAACCTGATGTATTGAGGAAAGTTAAATGAAAGGAAAATTGACTTAAAGAAGCTGTGGAAATTTAACAATAAAAACTATTTGAGATAATCTTAATTTTAAGTATTTAGAGTGTATTTAAAATATTAACTATTTTATCTCTATATATCAATAATTTAATATATATAAAAATCATGAATATCAATTTATCAATGCAAGGATTTTATAATAAGGTTTAGTCATTAATGTAAACCAATTATGAGGTACCTAATTATGATGATAATATTAGGTGCTATTGCGGTTTATAGATTAGATGTGATCCATTTGATGATTTTTACAATCATATTTCTAATTGCAAATAGTTTCTAAGTAAATCAATTTTTTATAAAGAATTTGAAAAGCCTAATTTTTATATTTTTAAGTTACCTTAACTTTATACATTGAAAGCAGAATTTCTGTTTATCATTAATCAAATAGATGAAATTATCAATAAAAGTAAGAATATAACTAATTTATATTATTAGAAGAAATTAATTAAACTAATTCACTTAAGAGAAATAGTAGATAATTAAAATATAGAATAAAACTATAATTCAATTAAATTATAATAAGCAATCCTATTTGATTGAAATTTCAGTCCTACAATAATATTCACAAAAATTACTTTCTACAAAAGAGTAGAGAATAAGAAAATCAAATAGGAATGTTCTTTTTGTATAAAATAAAATAAAATGATAATGAGGATGAGATGGAAGTAGTTTATAATTTTTAACATGCTCATTGTCTTGGTTGCATTAGTGAATTAATAATATATTCTAAAATCAGGTTGTGTATAATCTTCATTTTTTGAAAAGTAATTAAGTCAGTAAGAAATTGAAAATATATTAATTTAGAAAGTACTTAATACTAAAAAAATGTGAAAAATATGTGAATCACTTACATAATTCAAATAATAATATTAATTCTATAATAGAAAATTAAATAATAACGATATTAAGCTAGGTAAATGCCAGCTTGTAAGTAAAAAGAATACTAATCAAAAAATATTTAGGCATGTTAAGATAATTAATTGCAAAAATTTTTGTAAAGGAAATAAAGATGAAAAATATGTTTGGGTCGTCATAGAAATTAAGTTAAAATTTCTTTAAATAATAGATTTTAATTTAATTGTTCTATTGCTATTTTCAAGTTGGTTCCTACCTTTTTCCGATATAAAATCGCTTTTTAATTTTTTCAATCAACTCCTCTAAGTTTAGATTTTGAATTGATAAATAAATACACTAAAAGTTTTTTTAACATCTTCATTCATCTATTTAAAATAACATGGAAATATTGTATTTGCCTATTTGATGATTGATCAGTTATAAATATCATATTTCTGTGACTTTTATAATCTTATTTTTTATGTGAATCATTTGGAAAACATATTTCAAAACAGTTTTTTTATCAATAAAATATCGGAGAGGATTTATCATGTCATAATTACTTTAAAACTATTTCGTAATGAAAGGTTAAAAATTTAAAAAAACTTGCTGATACTTCACCAAAGAATGACTTCTATATATAGAATTACCTTACTTACAATGAATTTTTTTTTTAATTATATTCATAATTACCTTTGAAATCTTAGGAATAAATTTTAAAAACATGCAGTAACTTATTTTTCAGTATGGTTATTATTTTTTTCCTCGTTGTTGTTTAATCAGTTTGAATACCTTTTTTTTTCCCTTCCTCTATTATACTATCTGAATTTTCTTAAGAATAATAATATATTACAATATTAATTAAAATAGAAAAAATATCATCTATAAGATGCTTTTATACCATTTAACCTTCACAATTCTGATGTTTCTACTTTAAATATTAATGCTCTATTTGCTTTACTGGAGAAAATCCTCAAATAGATAAATCGATTAAAAAAAAAATAAAGTGATTCCAGCTCTTGAATAACCACATTTATAATTGCATCGTTCTCAATCGGTTGAGCAAACTATAAAAAAAGATTTTAGGCGCAAAATGAATCGCCTAGGAACTCAAACAGCTGAGACTGTTAATGAATCATCAAATAAAATTTAAAAAAGCACTCTTAAGACTACATCATAAATGTTTTCATCAAAATATTAGATCATTAAAGTCAGTTCCAATCTTGTTACTCTAGATATTTCTTAATAACAAGAATAATTCAAATCAATACCTTCAATGCAAGAACTACCAGAAACAGTTAGAACGCAGGATACTAATTTATTGACTATTAAAGAATCAGAGGAGTAAAGAACAGAATTCTTAAATTCAAGAATAATTTTCAAATTAATTAATAGATTAATAGTGTTATAAGGATTTTTAGGATTTTTACTGTTTAATAATTTGCATTTTGCATTGGCAAGTCTTTTGTCATTAATTACGATATGGATTATAAGGTTTTCCTAAACGGCAAATGTTTATATTGATGTTCTCCAATTGATACTATTTATTTCTTTTGATTTTACTTCTCTATTTTTATTTAATCCAAATGAAATATGGACTTATACTTATTTAGTTTTATTAGCTATTGAAGTTATATTGGAATTTATAATTTTGAACACTTAGAAATAAAAAAACTTTGAAAATTTACAAGCTTCTGCTTAGCAACACAGTTGATATTATTGATTTAAAATTATAATATAAGGTTTTTCTAAAAACACATTGATTTTAACTTTCTGGAATTATTTTTCTAATGTTCTTTGAGGATATTAAACTATTGAAATAGTTCAAACATTAATTGTCTTATAAATAAACAAATTTTGTATATTTATCTTCTATTTTTACATAAAAACATCATAAATCTTCTTTAAAAAACAAATTTCATTTTCTTAAAATAAGCATCCAAGATATATAGTGAATGATACAATATCTTTCATCAATTTATAAATTGATACAGTTCTAAATAGAGTTTTAGGAATCAGTAATAAATTAAACCATGTTATATATAGGTACTTATAATTTGAAATATATCAGCAACATATCTAAAGTAAATGAATGAAATTAAATAAATTAGCTTACCATTTTTGTTGATAAGTTGATTTTTAATATCTTTGTTTATGAAAAATAAATAATACATTATTCTATTAATATTAAAAATTGAATTTAAATATTACCTTAATATTAATTTGGTAACAACCAGAATTATAAATATTTTAACATTTCACTTGAATCGTTCATATTTTAAGATATTTTATTGAATGTTAAATAATAAATGAATTAAGTAGTTCTTTTTCTTATTTCAATGTTGTAGTGATTAAAAAATAAATAAATAATGAAACCACAAGCATGTTAATAAGATCTAGTCACATTTTATTTTCGTCTTAATAAAATGAAAAAATTTTCTATAAACTTTGAGTAAATTAGTTTAGATAAAAGGTAGCGTATTTTTTTTTAAATGAATTATAGTTCTTTATTTGCATTATATTCAATTTAAAATCATAAAAATTTGAGAAATTGAGACAAATGGTAAGGGTTGTGATTTTTACAAGTGTAAAGAAGATCCAAGAGAATCATGATATTTTGTTTTGATATGTACTGATTTAGTTATTATTTTGAGTTTTGTTTGTAAATAGTGTGCAAGTATAAAGGAAATAATAGTAGTTTGATATGTGCTATTTTCTGATTAATTACTTTTTTTTGGTACCATGTAATATCAGCCTATGAGAACTGAGATGAGAGAGAATAAAAAAAATCAGCATAGAATGTTCTTATCTAATTAAAAACTTTTAAATTGTATCATTTTAAGTGTCATGGCTTATTCTTAGAAAGGATGGCAATGTATAGTTTTTGGTTTTTGTCATAATCATGAATCATTCTCTTGGAAGCTTACAAAAAAAAAGGGTTAATGGGATCCCCCTACTAAAGAAGCCACCCATTTTGCATAAATTAAGACAAAGACTGTTTTCAATTACTCCGATCCATAACTTAACACTTTATATATCACATGCTATCCAATTATTCTTTCATATTGCACAGAAAAATATATGTTATGATCATAGAGTATTTTAATTGAAAAGGATCTATTTTTTCGTTCTTCTAAATGATCAATAAAACTAGAAATTTTACAATAAAAAGAACTTTATAGCTGTCTTGATATTTTCATTTATCTTGGGTGCAGATATCAGCCATATTATAAGAATAGTTTAATGTCTCCTTTAGATTTAGTACTTTAAATAATTCCAGTCCAAAGGATTTGTTTCTTGGGAGCTTTCTTCATAACATTTTTGTAATCTAGTTCGAAAAGTTTTTCAAAGCTGCTCCAAACCAGCTTCATACTTGGCAATAGCATTACTAGTGTAGTTATCCAGAATATCTTATTAATTCTACATCCAAGTAATTCAATTTTTAACACAAGTCTCATAAACTTATTTCAATTTCTTAAACTATTGTGATATTCTTAGATTTTCAACCCTTTCCTCGTTGACTTACTATTCCTTAACTATATTATTTCTCACCATCTTTTCTATACTATATGATCTATTTCTAAACACATTTCAATCATTCTAATTCTTTTAAACTGTTATTATCTAAAATCAGTTTCAGAGTTAGGTTTATGAGAGAAATTTTTTTCTTTTGGAGGACGAGGATTAACAAATTAAAGTACTAAAAGTAAATTACCATTACACTTTATTAAAGGAATACTAATTTGTATTTTTATTATGTTAGTGGAGTTGTATTTAATTATGGCTGGATACTGGAAAATATGCTATTAGTATGGCCATATTATAGTCTACCAGCAAGGTTTGATTCTCTAATAAATTGTAAATGATATTTTGATAGTCTATCCAATTATGAATCTCAATAATCTTCCTGATAAATTTAGAATAAAATTAGTATATGTTTTTTTTTATTATTAAAGTTTTTTGACTTTTTTTAATTTAATTTTTGATAAACAATTAGTGAATTTTTAAATGTACTTTTGTAATATAGATAAGAAAATTAATATCATGTTAAATAAATAAAGGCTTTCCTCTTTCTCTCTTCAAAAGATAGGAGCTGTATTTAGAGGAGAAAAAGACCTGTTTAGGGGTCTCTATTAAACTTATCTTGTGGATTTTTAAGAAAAGGAGTCTCAAGAATTTTACTCGAGTTCATTGAAATCCATAAAAAAAATTTAATTGTTGATTTCTACATGCAAAAGAAAATTATTTTTGAAAAAATTGGAGAAGTCTTTCAAACGAGAGAACAAATTTTTTTTATAAAATTGAAAAATTCATGCAGAAACCACTTTTGATCAAACAAAAATTTGTAAATAATAGTTTAATTATAAATTATTTCTCAAGATAAAGGAATCCTAATTAAAATACAGTAGATTATAATTTTTTTTAAATAATTGATTACATTGATTAATTCATAATCAAGAAATAACCCTTCGTGTTTAATACTTTTTATTGGCAATTTATATCAATCACAAAAATAAATGATTAATAAGTATTTGATATTTTGTATAGGAATAGAAGAAGGAACTTATTTTTTATTTATCTTTGCCCTTGAGTTTTTGAAAACTACATATAACTTATAGAGTACATATAAATTAATGATAGAGTGATTAATTTATAAAAATATACTAAAAATATATTTTCATTTATTTCTTTTTTTCTATTTATGGAATAATACATCTTCTGTTATCACTTGCTTCTAATCAATATTTCGATTATCATAATTAATGAAATTTGCAAGAATAAGATTTAAGATATACTCAATTCCATATTAAAAATCCTATTCCCAATTATAATCATATCGAAAATGTTTTTGAGGCATTTATTTCTGAATATAGGAATTTTAGAATAAAAGTACCTATTGGATGTATAACTGATAAATGCTCAAAAAAATAAAAGGAGAGAATTGATTTAAATGTTTTTGTGGAGCAGGGGGATATTTAAAGAATCTATGAATTTGTTTAAACTTTAACTCCAGAATGAAGCAATAATGAACAAAAGGATTAAACGATTAAGAGTTTTCAGAATTTTATAATTCGGAGCATTTTTATAGTTGGCAGATGAATAATATTAAGCTATGTAGCCTTAAATAAAAGCAGATGATGACATCTCCTTTTTTAAGAGTAACTCAACTATTTATTTTTTGGGGGTTGATTTGTTTTATTACATGAAAGATAAAGATAATTTTAAAAAATGCTCTGTGGAGATTTTGGGTCTTTTTGGTAATATTGTAGCTTAACCAGATAAATATGATTATGAATTATTGTATGGGATCCCTTGATACCTTTATTCTTTGTTATTGTTGCATAAGAAATATTCAAATGAATAAGAACAATTTAAATTAGAATTGAATTCTTAAGTTGATACTCTTTGTAAGATAATATGGAATATTGGAAGTTATTTAAATGTTACTATTGAGTTTTATGAGTTATGCAAAGAATATTTTCATTTAAAAGATGAATAGGAATTACTTAAAATGTTAAATACCATTTAGACAATATTAAACTATCTAATTAAAATTTATTATCAAAACGATAATATTCCGGTGTCAGCTTAGAATTAAAATAATGTAAAATTATATCATTTTGTCATGGGATATCAGAAGCTATTGCTCCAATTTTAAAAGCTTATTACATATTTAATAAATTAGACTATTTAAATACAGCAATACATATGATAGAATAACTTTACAAGTTTGGAATAATTAAGAAAGGTTATAGGTTATGTCATAGAATTCTAGGAAACAGTAATGGGTTTATGTATTTATATAGAATAACTGGAAATTAGAATTTGAGACGATATGCTTACTAATTTTTTTACTATAAAAAGAATCCTTGTATTTTTACTGAAATAAAGAATTTCCCATTTAATGACCGATATATTATTGGAATTTCTGATAATCCCTTCAGTTTGATGCTACGAAATATTAGAGATATGTGTGCAATGATGGATTTCATTAATTATAAACGAATGCCAGGATATGAAATTTGATTGTCTTATATTTATAGGATCATTCATATTCAACTTTCAAATTAATAGTCTTATTTTTATCTAAGGCTTTTAGTTATGCATTTTCATCAATTATTTTTTAGTCTATTAATTCTTAAAATGTCTTATCTAAGAGATGATCAAATGCTTATTTTCTTATATTGTTATTTGTTATCAATATTTCTCCCTTACAGTACAGTTCAATGCCTTGTGGTAATAGAGTCAAAAGAACAGACAATTTATCGTTTCGTTTTACTTTTATCTACAAAGATTAGATTGAGCATTCAGTGCATTCCTCTAATCGTTCCTGCTGTATGACATTAATACCTATTCCTGTTTAATGATTTTGGCCATACCATTATATATAGTTATTCAATTGACTTCCATTTCCAGTTAATATTTTAATACATTCCACAGTGCAGATTGAAGCTATTAGAGCATTTGTTGAAGCCACAGCTGGAATAATATTCTTAACAACTCCTAATGTTAGTTTATATGTGACTCCTTAAATATTAAATTATTATGCTCTTTCTAGTGCTTTTTGATAAATCCAATTCATATGATCAAAATTGTCTTTGTCCAATTTGAGATCTGGTTATTGTTTCGGCCATAAAATTTCATACGCATAAGCTATGCAATGTTCAGGAAGTCTTGGAGTGGAAGCAATCGTACACATTTGATATTGTATTTACTTAGGGAGCTAACTTATAGTGCATTCGTAACATGCTGTTTCAAAAGGAGAAATAACTCTAGCTTATCCATTTAATCCTTCTGTTCCTCCATCTATTAAATAATGGCGAGTCTCATCAATAACTTTATCATTTTCATCCCTCTACACCATTTAAATGACAACTCTATTGATCCACCTTCTAGCCTCAACGTTATCTAGGCCAGCAATTATCACTGAGAATTCTTAATAAAAACTAATGGGGAATTCTTATATCTACGATATTCATTTAAATACATACTTTTTTTGTATAAGGTATAACTTTGCAAGATGGGATTCTTTTCATAATAAATTCTGCTGCTACTTCTGCCTTATATTTACCAACATCTTTCATTCTAAATAGAAACTATCTATTTAAATTTGTTAAATCTATAGTGTCTAGATCAATAACGTGGATCTCTTTGATTCCACTAAGCGCCAAAGATTTTAGAATTTCACAACCCAAACCTCCTGCTCCTATTACTAATACTTTCTAAATGGATAGTGCCTCGATCATTATTTAACCACGATATTCATTATAAGTATCTTTTGATAATGGACTATAAGTATTTAAGATAGAATTCATAATTTATTAAATTAAGTAAAACATATCACTTTATCTATTTCCTCAAGAGCTCATATTTTCTTATACAAAACATAGACTCAACTCCTGATTCATTTATCTTATTCCTATAAGTAAATGGATTAGCAGCATAACAAGTTATAGCAGCCTAATATTCAGAATTGTTGTTTCTCCTTCTCAGTATCCTCTACGGTTAAGAAGACTCTATTTAACCTTTCCCGTTGATACAGAAATTTAATTGTTCAGATTTCTTCTTAGTGAGAGGAGAGAGAATTTATTTTCTTGAATGAGGTTGGGAGAGCACAAAAGTTCTTCTGGCATCCACAGTAACTGATTTCAATCTGAGTTGTTGCACAATCGATCGATGCTTTTATTTGAGGATGGGTGAATAAGAATGAGGGAATTAATTCATTATTAATATTAATCTATGGTTTTTCATATTTATCAAATCTTATCACCTGCAGCTTATCTTAAGGCAAGTTATTCTCTAAGAGTTCTTAAAGCTTTATTGACTAAACCAATAGTATCAGAAACAACTTATCTATCAGAATCTCTATTAAAAAAATAATATGAATATGATTACCTAGCAGATCTAGCATCAGCATAATCTTTGGCAGCTTCTTCACATTAATTCCATCTATCTGTTCTTCTTTCATGGAGTAAATCAAGTCTCTAGTTGGTGTTATCCAATGAAGCTTCAACTTATCTAATGATGTCAGAAACACTTGCAAAATCAGATTCTGCATTTGCTAATTCAGATCCAGCTACTGTAAGAGCAATAACTAAAAGTTTTCTTGTTTTGTTATAAGCTTCTACTCTCTTGTCTTCTGCAAATCTTTATAAACTTAATGAATCACTAACTTCGTTAATTAATCTGTCGAATAAATCAACAACTCTATGAAATATATATCAAATAATTTATACTTTTAAATAGTGCTGTCATCAAACTTAGCTTTACTTGCAATTTAACTCAATAATTTCATGACTGGAACATATCTCAACATATGTTTAGAATGTGATAATTTTTTTTATGATTCTTTGATATGTTTCTAGAATAATGAAATATGTTCTTATGGGATTTCCTTTGTTTTTTAGGTTGCTTTCTTCTATACTAATGATGATGTGGCTTCAACATTGGCTTTAATAATATTTCTTGCTTCAGTCAATACAGCAATGGCAGTGTTATGATCAGCTGCAATTTCTTCATATTCTGCATGTTAAGCAGCTCTATCAGCATCTAATTCATCAATTTCCTTTTAATATCCTAAAACATTAGAATTTCAATTAATACCCTTGACTTCAGCTTTTTTAGCTGTGATTAATCCAGAGATAATTGCTCTTCTTGGATATAAATCACCTTCAAGTCTTGCTTCAAGAGAGATTCTTTCTGAATCAGTGTTGGCAATGTCTTTATCATAAGCTGAAATGTCAACATTGCATGCATCTTAAAATTCTCTATTCTCAGCATCATCTTCTCTTTATTCTTATTAATATCTATCTTCTAAGTCTGAAAGTGTATTCAATAATCTATCTAAAGGATCTCCTGTTTCCAATTATAAATAGATTGTGTCAAACAAGGTTCTTCCAAATGGTGTTGCATCAATCTTATGAATCATTTAAATGTATTCAGTTTCTGTTGTAGCAAAAGCTGTGCAAGCAAGAACTAATAACAATATTGGTTTCATTAAATAAAATATTATCTTCCCATATTCTCACATAATCATTTATCAATTAGCCGTTTTGAATTTAATTGTAGATTACCATACACAAACGGATTATAAAATAAATATATTTAAATAATCTCATCTTCTCAATAATAAATTCATCCTATTCTGAAACATTAAATCATCCTTCTATTTATTTACTCAACTATCACAAAATTAAAATGGAATGATCATAATTTAAAATAATTTTTTTTTGTAATATATATCACTAATCAATTCACATATGATATCTTGCATTTAGTATTATTAATAATTATCATTATTTCAGATTATACTAACAATAATAATAGCTACTTGTGATGGTTCAGACAAATAAATCTTATCACTAAATTTTTAAACTAATTCTTATTATTGATCAGAATTTAATTCTATTTAACTTATGGAATCGAAATAAACTCTTTACTTGAATAATATAAACCTATTAATGAAAGATCCATTCACTTTAATTTCTAATATTCTAGCTAATTAAAAATATGAATATAGACTTAGTAAAATAAAGACTAATTCCTTTCAATTATAGCTATAAGCATTCTAAATTAGAACTCAATCAAGATTTAATAAAAATGATGAACTTACCTCTAAAAATAAATAAATATTAATAAACTATTATCTACATAATCATATATTAACAATAAAAATGAAAAGTTGAATCATCATCTGATTAAAAAATAAATTTCAGCTCTATTTTGAGCTTCACCTAAAATTTTTCAGATGCTTCCTTGAATTTAGATCAGGAATTCAACTTAAATACCCTAAAATTTGCAATAATATTAAATTATTCATACCAAAAATTAATTAATTGTAATAAGAAATTTTTAAATATTGCCCATTAAAACCACTTTAATTATATTAAGCTCTTTAGCACAGAGAATCAAAATTTATAATTTCAAATAAAACTTACTATTATAGATTGAAGGAATCTTAAAACTATTGGTTGAGTTTTTGTTGAATGAAACCCAATTAAAACAAATATTATTAATATGCAATAGTAAAATGTAGATGAATTTAAAGAAACTTTTAATATTTCAATAGAATTACATATTTTCAATTTTCATAATCACTTTTTCATTATTAATCATTAGATTTATCTTCTTTATTAAAAATTAATAACTCTCTATATGAGAGTGTATTTATGGGAGAGAGATTATGAATATATTATTAAATAATTAATTATATTCGTTTTTGAAATTACATTATTAAAATAAATAATGAAGTACATTCTTGTGTTAGCTTTGATTACATTCACATGTGCTACATCCTTGACAGAAATGTCAGAAAGACTTTCTTAATATGGAGATCATCCTTTTGGAAAGTCTATGGTCAATTTGGTTACAGTTAACATGAAAACTGGTGGTTCCCTCAATGAATTGAAATAACTCTTATAATAAATTAAGGATGAACTCATTGCTCTTACTTAATTGCAAGATTCAGAAAATGGCACTTTCACTCGTAGAAGTCAAGTTGATTTGGCTAAATTATAAGCTACACTTGAATAAGCATAAGGTGATTTAGATAATCAAAGATAAGAGTAATCAAGCTTAAGCAATGAATTAGCTACTCTTTAAACAAGAGTAAAAGAGGGTATTAATATTATTTTAATTTTTGCAGATTAAGCTGCTTTGGACAGAAACAGTAGAGGAAGTGGTGATGCTCAATCCAGACTTGATGCTGAAAATGCTGATTTTGCTACTAAATACTCTGATTATAATGATGCCATTTTAGCATGTAAAGAAGCATAAAGATTATTAATGAACTTAAGAGGTGAAGGAGCATCTTTAATTTAACTTACGTATATCATATTTATTTAGCAATTTAGTTAAGATACAAAGAGCAACCTCATCTAAACTAAAGAAAACTTTTAAAAAATAAAAGAAATATTGGAGGCTCATACTAAAAAGAGCTCTTTAACTTTATTCTAACCAATTATTGAAGGATTAGCTGAAATGACCACCAAAGTTAATCCAGAAACTTTGAATAATGTTCTTAGTTTGGTAGCTCGTTTGATCACAGCTCTTTAAGAAGGTTAAGATTAATTAGAATCTAATCACAAAACTTAAGTATAAATTAAATTTATAATGAAAAGGTTGAGAATTTAACTAGATTAGGCGATGATTTGAGAAATGAGAAATAAACTTTATAAGTTTCTTTAGCAACTGCTAACAATAGACTTAAAGAAATCTAATCAAGATTAAATGAATTAGATGGATTGATCAATATTTCAAATGCTTTAGTTGAAGTTACATAACTAAATATTTAAGATGCTACTAAGATCAATGAATTAGAAGATGCAGAATATAGTAATTAAAAAGTCAGCAGGTATATTATATTATACTATTTTTCTATAGATAAACTGAAATAGATATAGTTGATAGATTAATTGAATACATCAATTAAAAATTATCAGAGTGATGAGATACAATTATATCAAAAATATCATTATATTATTGTAATAAAATTTTTATAAGAAATTAAAGTTATTTGAAAAAAAGATAAAATCAAGATAGCCTTTCAATATTATTACACGATAATAGTTTTAAACCAGGTCCTTGAATAGGTAGATGTACTGGGGAAACTGAAAAATCATCATCAGGTTCATGTAATTCTGATTCTTCATAAAACATTTTCTAGATGGATTCCCTTTTAACAATCCCTTAATTATCCTATTTAATTTTTCTATACAAAAGAGTGATATCAGCCTTTGAGATTTAAGTATCAATATTTAGCAATATTTGCTCGAATTTATTTAAGCTGATTAATTACTCTTATGAAACATCATACTAAATAATTGTTTAAAAAAATTACCTCATTACATATTTCAATAATTGAAATCGAATTTAACCTTATTCTAATAATTAAATTAACCAACAAATTATCAATTCTAGATTAATCTTACTAAGTTAAAAATGGAATATAATTATCTTAAACTGAAGACTAAATTATCTATTAAAATATTAGATATTTTTACATCATTCTAACTAAACCATAACAATATAGATTCAAATGGAATAGTATCCATATTATTATGATTCAATTTATCAAATACTAATTCAGCATCTTCTAAAGTAAATTATTTATCAATAGATTATAAAAGTAAATTAATATCATTAATTTTCAATTTTTTTGGCAGTGAAATATTTTAAATTAATTAATTAATGTTAAATTTTCTTATTTTAATAATATTTCTTATTCTGGTGATTATGTATTGAGAATTGCGATCTATTTTTTTAAATGGATTTAATCTAAATAAGTTATGATTGTAAATGTCTATCCAATCTATTCTGTCTTTTTCATCGATTTCTAAACAACTCTTAATAAATGATTTGCTGACATCACTTACTTATGGTTATATTGGAAACTCTAAAGGTTCCTCATAAATCTTTTTAAGAAGTTTAGTGGATGTTTCATGAAACCAAGGGGCTATTTGATTATAAAATTAATTACTTGCACCATATAAGCATTCAAAATACAAAATTCCAATAGACCAAATATCACATTTACTTGAATAATTACTATTTTATTAAACTTATGGACTCATATATAAAGGTGTTCCAACACGTGAATTAAGCACCTTTTATTAACACAATTAAGTTGCCATTCCAAAATCTCCAATTTTAAATACTCCATTGCTATTTAATATATTAGCTGGTTTGATGTCTCTGTGTACAATACCATTCTTCAATAAAATTTAGTATCCAGAAAGAATATCATATAGAATTTTAATTGCTTCTTATTCTTAAAGCTATTATTTCTTCAAGATCTTCTTCAAATCTCCTTATTAACAAAGTTCTTAAATAAGGTAATAGTTTGACTGACTTTCACAAACATCAAGCAATCTTACTATATTTTTTGAATGAAGTTTCTTCAAAATTATCATTTCATTTACTAAAGCCTTCTATGAATATGAATCTCTAAAGTAAAATAGACTAATACCCTTCAAACTTTGCCTTTTTGACAATTTTAATGGCAACTTCTGTTTATGTATTTTAGTCAACTCCTCTATATACACATCCATAACTGCCTTTTCCAATAATATGGCCTGTATTATAGAAATAATTTTCAATGCGCTTATCCAAATACATTTACAGATTCACAATTTAATATATACAAAAAAAAAGTCAAATAGATTTGACAAACAAGCAAAACGCATAAAATTTAGAGATGTAAATAATTTGTTCTATTTAGAACTATTATTTAAATTATCTAATTGAATATAAAATACTTCCATTAATGGATTTAATTTTTATTTATCATAAAACAACAAAGTGAACTTTATTTAGTAATTGATGTAATAATATATCAGAAAGTTAATTATTAATAATATATTTTAATATATTAATATATAGTATGCGATCAATCTTAAAACTAATAGATATATTTTCTAAATATTGTCCGAAGATGAATATCTTCATTGTTGTTTCATAAAGTGTTATATAATAAGTAAATCAAATTAATTAATTTATATTATATAATTAATTAATCTCATAATTCATCTTATTATACAAACATAAATTACTACATTCAAATATAAGATTTTCGAATTTTCAACATATATATTAGGTAAATTGATTTGTGGAATTATTTTTATTATTTTAATTTTTAGTTGAAATAAGATAATATTTTTGAGATGAATGCTTTATAAAATTTAATTTATTCAACAATCTTTAATAATGAAATTATTGTAATTTTTGAAATCAGGAAATTATACAGAATATAGTATTTAAGAATACTTAATCAAATGGAATAATAGTTATTTTTATATATTTATATTAAATTACTTATAACCAATTATAAAGAAATATATTTAAATAAATAATAATTAGAATGATTAGAGATGATTTGATAATTTCTGACCCAATACGAAAAGTTGTTAGGCATAATCCTGAATAAAATAATGAACCTGATCTAGAAGAAACTAAAGAGGGAGGTGATACAAATACTTCTTAATCTGAACAAAATATGAGTGAATACGAATAAAGTATAATCCATGATTCATTCGAATCATTTTCAATTCCAAGTCCTATTTTGTTGAGCAACTACAATTCATATAGACAGCGAAACGGGTTAATAACCAGTAGTTCAAGTTCAGATTCCTCCAGCTCAAGTTCAAGTTCAAGTTCGAGTTAGACATCTGAAAGTGAGGAAGATGAGGAAAGGAAAGAAAACTTGTCTATATCAATTTCTGAATGATATATAAATTATTTAATCAGCTTTTATCATGCAAAAACAGATTCAATATGGCATTTATAGTTTGTACTCATTTCTAGCAAAAATAATTGCAATGGATATTACAGAATATTTTTTGTATGTGTATTATGTTTAGATGTTCATTTATCATATTAAGAAATGATTAAACATTATTAGTATTGCTATTTGCATATTATTATTATCCTCCTATTTATTTATAGATGAAGTTTAAGTTTAAGTTAAGAAGTTATTATAATAAAAGAAAGGTTTTGTTGGAATTTAAATGCTAATAATGAGAAAAGTGTTTATAATAAATCAGTAATTTCTTAATTTGTAAACATTTCCTTTTAAATTTAACTCTCCCTAATATTTGAGCAGCATCCTATTTTTAATTTTTTAATTTTTAATATATGAAAGGTGGAACAGCTTAATAATAAATCTTAGTGATTGATAAAATATAAATATTATTGAATAAGATATTTGCATATAGAAATTTAGCAGAGAGAAGGATAAGGAGTTTGTCCAAACATTTTTATAAGGTAAAAATATACAAAAATTTATATCAGGTAGTAAGATATCATAGAGAATTTAGTTATTCTACAAATAATGGGTGTGAATGATGAAATTTTTGTTATGGGATTGTTTTTAGTTGATCGTCTTACAACAAAGAACAAGTTTTACCTTAACCGAAGAAATATTTACAATATAATAATACTTTTTCAATTACAGAGCGCGGCTACTTAAATTAAAAGATTGATGGTTTATACAACTCATAAACAACTCCATTTAGAAACAAAAATTATATAATATTCATATAGTGTATTCATTTATTTATTCTTAATTTTAATAAAAATATCTAGTACTTTATATTAACTTTCCATGTTTAATGTATTTTTGTTAATAAATTCATATTTTTTGAAGGAGCTTTAATTAATACATGTCAAAATAATTGATATATACCTTAATTAAGTAGAATATTATCAATATTTTAATTTAATGTCATTAATTAATAGATAATTTTTAATATTATTAAGAATAATTGCAATTCTTCATGATTATTATTTAGAATAATATTATAAACAATAAACTATTTAATTATTATTATAATTTTTATATTGTTTCAGTGTTTAAATGTAAAAATTTTTATAATTATCGTTTTTAATTGGATGATAAAATAAGTTTTATGGGCATGTCTATTATTATCATGTATATCAGTAGAGGATGGTCGTTATATTGAATATATGGAAGTAATTATTGATATAAATTGGAATAATAGATTGATAGAGATGAATTTGGAAAAACTTTGATTGATACATTGGAAATTAATATATCAGGTGGACAATCATTAGAAAAAGTGGTTGATTTAATGCGTGATTTGGAAGGTTAAATAGACAATGAATAAAAGGATGATGATATTTCTAATCAATAATATTAAAAGAAATGTGATGAAGTAAGTATATACTAGATTTAAATATAGGATTTAACTAATTAAGAGAATGAGATTAATTAAACATAATTAGCAATTGTTGAGAAATAAGGCAAGTTGGATGAATTGAAGAATGCTTAATAAAGAAAGAAATAAATAGCTAATGCAAAAGATTAATGGTTGAAATAAATATAAGAATTAATATCTTAAAAATAAACTATAAGAAATTAAGAATAAGATAGGTATGAGTAAGAGATGAATGAAAATTCATATGTTATTTCTGTGATTTCTGAAGTTAAAAAGAAGTTTACTTTAAATGGAATAAATTTAATATAAATTAACAATCATGAAGCATTGATGGATGATTTAGAAAATGCAATAGTTGAAAGCAAAAATTTCATATAGAATACTAGATATTAAGAAGTTTTTGGATTGTTTGTATAAGTTGCAGCAAAAGTGAAAAATGAAGGTGCAGATAAATTAAAATCTTTATGTGATGAATTATTAATCAATGTATCTGATAATATGTCATTAATAAGAAAATAAGAAGATAAAAGGAAAGAAATATTTGAAAAAGAGATATCATCTTTATAAAAAGATTAATAATTAGTGTAAAGTGATAAATCTATGATTGATGCAGGATTAGAATAATTAGATAATTAGATATCTATGGGATAAAATGATTTGACAGATTATAATGCAAGAATTGAAAGCAAAAAATAAACAAAAGAAGATAGAAGAAAAGAATGTTCTTAAGCTGCTTATGAATACAAATAAAGTAGAGAATAAAATGATAGAAAAAGACAATTAGTTTCTTAAGTAATCGGATTATTTAGTGCAAATTAGAGAGAATTTAAAGAATATTTAAGTATAAGAAATAATTGAGATTGATATGGATAATTGAGATTGATATGGAAGATTTTAATATGTAAAAAATTATATATACAAATCAGTTTATAAGTAATAATTTTTGGGGTGATCCTATTATGTTAATATATATAATTCATAATGAATTAATAAATTATAATTTTAATCATGATGTATTAATATTCTTAAATAGAGAATAATTTGAATTTAATTATTAGATTCATAAATAAATGGAATTTAAAAGATTTAGATAAATTAGAAATTATCATGACTCAATAATCCATTTAAGTTGATCAGTATATAATTTACTGTTATTAAAAAATTAATAAATTAATATTCTAATTAATATCTTATATTTTAAGCATTTCATATTATCAATTTCTAAATCTACATTTTATTTCTGTTGACTCATAAATTTAACAAGTTTATATGCTATACTTGTTTTATATTAAGCAATCTTTTACCTAAACACATAAATCAACAAAATATCTATATATAATTATATTGAGCACTTATTAAGACTTCAAAATTGTTCATTGAAAATTATAGTAAGCATACTAAGATTGATATAAATATATCACAATTCTCATTAAACACTATCACAATTTATTAATTAAAATTTCCTCGAATTTAGTTGGATAATTCAATAAAAAAAATTTATGCAAAGTAATAAAAAAATAGTGAGAAAAGTAAATTTATTTAATTATATCTATATGATTTGCATGATATTTCTAAAATGAAGGTATAAATTCAATTCAATATTCACAATTATTAATTTATCTATTTTCAGATGTTTATAAACTACACAAACTATTTGCTAATGGGGTTGTGCTCAAAAGATCTAATATACTGCATACTCAATCAATCTAGAATCCCAACAATCATTTATTTGATTATATTAACCATTATGATAAGTAAATTGTCACATCATTATTCAAGTTTAACAATTACTGAAGATCAAATTTCGAATAACTCACTCTGAAGTCATCCTTTCGTTTATTTATAATATAATCTACATAACTTTATTTGGAACTTCATCTATTTGGTAAGCATATTATATAATGAACATATTCCAAAAATCTAATTACTATTTTCTTGCTTCTTTTCCAATAATAATTTACTAATTAGTACTAGAAGTAATTGAATATGATTAAATTGTGCCAAAAACATTTGGATTTTAGATTTCATCTGCTTCTATGATCTTAATATATTAATTCTATTGTTTTGTCAAAGAAAATGATATTGCCTCAGTTGCAGAATCAGTCATAATGAAATAATTGTTGAAAAATAGCTACATAAAAGTATTCAATAGAAATTTAGAAGATTTAACACCAAATGTATTATTGAGAAATGTAAAACCATCATCTGGATAAATCATTTTTACTACTAGAAATAAGTCAGACAACTTTGAATTAATACCAAATTCTTTAAATAAAGAGCTAAAAATTAAAAGTTTTATAAATAGCGACATGCATTTAGAAGAATCTGAAGATTCGGTTATTGACAGTCCTAATAAATATCAGAGTTATAAAGATTTGAAGGAATTTATAAATAGTTTTGTTTAGAATAAATAAACTTAAAATCAAGATAATTTAATCATTGCTTCTGAAATCGATATGGATTCTGGTAAAAAGTAAAAGTTTAAAGTAATTATCAATACTGAAATTGATAAATACTATATTATAGCATTTATTAAAATAGATTCTGCAATTGTTAAAAAATAACATAATTCAATAGCAAAATTCAAAACAAGATTAGCTAATAATTTTACTCATAAATTAAAAACATCACTTAATGCAACATTAGCATATTTATCAAATGCTATAAATGATAGAAATATAGAAAAAACGGTATTACAATCTTACATTCATCCATCATATATACATTCAAAAATATAATTATATTAAGTTTAAGATTTACTTGATTATCTAAATACAGAATAAGATTAAATAGGATTGTAAATAACTAAATTTAATCTTTAATAATCTTTAAGTTAAATATATGAATTTATTGAATATTAATGTAAAGTTAAAAATATTACAGTTAAATTTATGATAAATGGATCTGATTGGAAATCACATGAAAGGTAAAATATTTATATTATAATATAAGCTAATTTTATATTTATTCTGACTGCCAAAAATTTGAAAGGGTTTTATTTAATTTAATCAATAATTCATATAGATATGCACCTTTAAATGGAGAATTAACAATAGATTTAGTGTATGATTGTGGAAAAAATAAATTATGGGTTAAAATAAATGATAATGGAGATGGAATACCAGAAGATTAATTAAATATTATTAATACTCAAGCATAATTACAAAATAAATATAACATTACTAATAAATATGTATCTTCAAAAAATAAATCTAAATTTGGATTGACTTTACAAATTACAAATAGATTGATATATATGTTAAGTGATTAAAATTGTTCATTGTAAGTCAAAAATTAAAAATAATTAGGAGGTTGTAGTTTTGAATTCTTTATTATTATTAATTCTACATCTAAAGAAGGATCATTGGAATAGATTAAATACTCAAATTATATTAAATAATCTAGATAATCATCAATTAAATTACAAAATCATATAAATCGATCATCTAATTCTTCTTCTTAAAGATCAATATTTTCTAAAAATTAATAAGATGAATGTATAGAACCTATAGAAGAAGAACCAAAACCTGTAAAACCTAGATTATCTAAGACATATTAATATCATGAAAGTAAATAATAAATCAATCCAGTAAAAAGACCTACTTTATCTGGAATAAGAGATTTATAATTATCAAATATAATAGATTAAGTAAATTAAACTGGAATGACATATAATTAAGATAATCGTTATATTTTAATAGTAGATGATGAACCATTTAATCATAATACTTTAACATTGATGCTTTAAAAATTAGGATATAAATAATTCCTATATTCTTTCAATGGATAGGAATGTATTGATAAGGTTTAGTAAAATTCTTTATGCATTTAAACAATATTTATGGATTTAGATATGCCAATTATGGGAGGATTGCAAGTAAATTAATTAATTTAATTAATAGGCTACTTAAATATTAATTAGAATGATGACTGAAGGAAAAATAGACTATATTCCAATTATTGGTTGTACTGCTCATGATGATTTCGAAACATAAATTAAATGTTTGAAGGTTGGTATGGCACATGTCGTTACTAAACCTGTTTTTATAAAGAGTTTACAAGAAGCTTATAGATAGATTAGAGAAGAACATTAATAATAAGATCATCGTAGTGTTTAAATGTCAAATTCATTAGATAAATACTGAAATTTAAAATCTTTTTAT